ACCGAATAAGCAATGGAACCAAATAGGAGAAGGATTTCGGATCACTCAACAAAGTTTCGGAGCGCTCAACAGAACCAAACAAAATACAATTTTGGACCACTCAATGGAATCCAGACAGAGCAGGGAACTAGACCACTCAACATAAGCGAGTAGAATTCAAGGAACGTAGTTTACAATGGCTCAACAAAGTGGGACATGACGCAAATTCAAAGCAACAACTCCCTATAACCATGGGTTAACGATTCCTTACTAGCCCTCACGTTTCTTAAACATTTCAAATATGTATATCAAATCACGTTTTATAAAATAGATCGATGTTTCATAAACATTTCAAATATACATTTTAAATCACATTGCATAAAATAGATCAATGGCATAATTTAAAAAACAACAATTTAGTAGAAACACATTTATAAATCCATGCCGTATCCACCAAGGATACTAACAGAGGAATTTTTAGGGTAATAATAGATACCATATATTTTAAAGTCACTCACCTAGAATCTGTCCTAATGCACCCTCGAACAATGATCAAGGCACACACGTACAAAATCGTCGCATAGAACAAAAAATCAAGTCGTGTCTCAGAATTTTAGCGATAAAACATATAACTTTACATTGTGCACATCCTCTAGGACATCCTACATGGATTTGGCACACGTTGACCAAAATCATAACTTGACGTTGTACACGTCCTCTGGGACATTCTAGATGGATTCGATTTACGTTGACCAAAAATCAACAATCGGTTAACCACCAACAGTAGGGTCGAGAACCCTATGTAACTCTACGGAAGATTTGCACATTGAATTTCCTATCCATAACTTCCTAAGGGTCTCCTTGTGCTTCTAGAACAACATACTAAAATTTCATGTCGATTTGACAATCAGATTTCCGTGAATCGCAAATTTAAGTGGCGGTTAACTACGAAACTAGGTTAAAACGGTTGAATTTCGCTAAATGGATGCCAAAAATAGATTCAGGGCACTGAAAATAGCTAAGAAAGACATTTTGGGTTTTTGGCCATGCACCACCACGTGCTCCCATGCCCGAGCTAAGATCAAATGGAAAACTTTATCAAAACTAACAGAATATTCAAGGTATATACCTGACAGCGTTAGGGAATATTCCAAGGTTAACGAAATCTTTCATGTCTTCTTACTCTCTTCTCTGGTTGTCAACACTGTCGCTATCTGCTATCCGTCGCGGTGAATGTCGTCGAATTCCGCAAAAAAATGGCAAAAAATGTAGATAATTTTCAAAGCCCTATAAGCTCTTCATTTCTCCACCAAATTGGACGATCTTTATGTCAACATGAAGCTAGAGATGAGTAGAATAAGATTATACTTGTTTGAAGTCTAAGAAATTGCCGGAAAAAAAGCTTGAAATTGACTGGAAAAGTACGGCTCAAACCAAAGTTCTTACAACCTATCTGTGAACTGATTTTCAGGAAACAAATGATGGTTTCACGTTTCTAGGGTCCAGAAGAGTAATTTGATGGTGGTTTGGGTGATTAATTCAACAAGTCTAGAGGTGGTGGTGGATGTGGCTCACAGTGAGGGAAGAAACGGGAAGAGAGAGTTTGAGAAGTGATAGAAACTACGAAAGAAAAAGAAAATAGAAGAAAGATCCGGAAAAATGCATTTTTGATTTGGAAACCCTGTGACTACTCAACATAAACTTCTTCTTCTAGCACTCCATTGAGAAATGCTGTTTTGACATCCAATTGGAACAGTTTCCAATGTTTTTGAGCTGCCAAGGCTATTATAGTTCTAATAGTGTCCAACCTAGTCATTGGGGCAAAGGTTTCATTGAAATCAACTCCAAGTTGTTGTGAGTACCCTTTGGCAATAAGTCTTGCCTTGTTCTTTTGCACTGACCCATCCAAGTTAAATTTTGTCTTGTACACCCATTTAACACCAAAAACAGGCTTGTCCCTTGGTTATTGACCAATTCCCAAGTTGAATTCTTCTCTATAGTTGAGATTTCATCCTCCATTGATTTCTTCCATTTTACATCATATTTGGCTTCTTCAATGTCTTCTGGTTCTACAACACAGTAGGAGCTGAACTTGGGGTTGAATCGTGTAAACATGTGGGTAGTTTTAGGTGTTGACATCTGATAAGATTAAGGAGATTGAACAGGTGATTGAATCGTAGCACTCATCCAGTGTTTTAAAAGACGCGCCTCAGGGCGTGCCTAGGCGCCCTTGGAGGCAGGGCTTCGGCAATTTCGCCTCTGTTTTTTTGGATTGGGAGGAAACTCGCCTAGGCTTCGTCGGGGTGTGCCTAGGCGCCTAAGGCATTGACTGGGTGTTCCTTGATCCAAAATCTTGCTTGAAATTTGAAATTTTCTGGAAAACTCTGCTCTGTAACTTTGTTGTAGTGGCATCTTCACAAAGAAGACAACCGTGCAAGGAAGCAAAAAGGTTTATATATATAAAGCCTTGGCCTAAAATGATGTCGTTTTGGCCAAGTCTAACTTTTTATTATTATTTTTTTATAATAACTACAGTCATTCTTCTCTACCAATTCTCTACTATTTTCACCACCCAATATCCCATTTTCTCTATATATTTCACCAACCAATACCCGATTCTCTTTGCTATATTTCACCCCATCCTCAATTCCACAATTCCCCCAATTCCTCAAACCCTATATTCTCAATCCCAATCATATATTTCAAGTTTTTTAGTATTCTAATCTCAATATATAATTATATATACAATATATATTAAATTATTTAGGCCCGTGAGGCTTCACCTCACGCCTCACTCCTCACGCTTAGGCGAGGCTATCCATGAAATGCCTCGCCTACGCCTCCTCCTTTTAATACATTGCGCTCATCTCAGGTTCCACTGAATGTCAGGCTGTACATTGTTGGAAGAATCATCAACCAAGGGTACAGACATTTGCACTTCAGTGTTGTTCTCCCATATCCATTTTACCTTTTTACCAAGGGTACAATCTGTATCCCTTCTCACAACCTCCACACCCAACAAACACACATTTTTTGCTAGTTATGTGGGCATAGCACACAGAACTAAATACATTCAAGTGTTTCACAAAAGGCTTTCTCCCACTCAAATCTTCAAGGGGTGTCAACTTGTCCGCTGCCTTGGACATCAATTCAGCAGGTAAACAGCTGTGTTAACAGCTTCTCTCAAAAGTGATATGGCATTTCTTTCTCATGCAACATTGATCTTGCCATTTCACTATGGTCCTATTTTTCTCTCAACCACTCCATTCTGTTGAGGGCTATAAGCTATTGTCAATTGCCTGTCTAGGCCTCCATCATCACATAACCTATCAAATTCCAGTGAAGTGTATTCGCCACCTCTATCACTTCTTAGTTTTTTTTTTTTTAATTTCAAAACCACTTTCTTGAACACATCAGACTTGTGTCTCAGTAAGTAAGCCCATCACATTCTGCTCCTGTCATCAATGAAGGTCAAAAAATACCTATTCCCTCCAAGTGTTGAAGTCCTTATTAGACCACACACATCACTGTGAATCAATTCCAGTCAGTTGCTCTTAAGTGTTTAAGAAATAGAGGGAAGCTCATGTTCTCCTTCATCAGTACCCTAGTCACCAAGTTCCCTTCTACCTCTAAGGAGGAGTTAGCAAAACGGCTCTACCTCTTATAGAGTGTAAGGAGGAGTCAGCAAAACAGCTCTACCTCTTCTAGAGTGTTGATGTTTCTACCTCTAAGTCGATCATCAAAATTAGGTCGGAATGCCGAGACAACAGATGGGTGGATTTTTGGTCCAATTACAAGTATGCAGACTTGTTTTCAACTCATGGTGAAATATTAGGACAAAACAGTTTATGTCGATTCAGATTTGGTTGCGTTGTAATCAAAGGAATGAAACGCTAGATCAGTTTTCGCGTGACAAGAAGATAGGAAACTGCAAACAAGAACACAAGACGATAGAAAAGTAAGCTAATAACTTATGCAGTTTTTTGTGGTTTGAAGAAGTAATCCTTGTAGTATCTTGTTCTTGATGCCGGTCCTGTAATCGTAGTAATCCTTTTCGTATTCAGCTGGTATTTGTATTTGATTAGTTTCATCATTTCAAGCTTTGGAATTAATGAATGTAATTAGAATATATCTACACATAAGACGGAAGAGATGACTCAATCGCTTGTGCGTTTGCACCGCAGTGTCGAAAGCTCTCAAGACCAATGCATAACAGAACATTCTTAGAGAAGGTCAGTAATTCGCGAAACCTGCAAATGAAGTAAAACCCTAACACGAGCATGAAACATAGCTGCCACTAAATTCCTCTTAAATTAATTCCAAAAGAATGTACAGCAAGTGTCACCAAGGATTAGGGGTGCAAGTTGGAACGATGTTTCCAATTCCGCCAGTAAAATTTCTAAATCTTAACTCAGAAATCCTGAATCCCAATGTTTTCCGACAAAATTGAAACGAAATTTGAAATGCATTTTGCGAAGTGCTCCGAACTTATTGCGGTACAAGAACTAAATATTTTGAATTTTAACAACCAATTACTCAAACTTACATACTTTGTAATCAATTTTTCCATCTTATTGTTAGTTTTGGATACATTTTGATCGTTGTTTGTATTTATTGAAAAGGATAAACATGCCAGTGCACCACAAAATTAATTGAACTTTGTACATAAGCAATATTAAGAAAGAACAATAAATTACATGTACAAAAAGTTAGGAAAAAAAATATATATATATATATATATATATGAATTTTCAAATTATGTTTCCAAATTTCAGAAATTTCTCTGATTCTGAAATTTCTGAATATATTGAAAATTTTGAATTTAAAAAATGATGTTCTGATCCGATTTTAAAAATTTAAAACGGAAATTGAAAACGTTGTTTCTAATTGGATCCTTCGGAAAAACACCCCTATCAGAGATTTATCTCCATGTTAGTATCTCACTCACCATCAGCAACAGTGAACTGACGATGAAAAGCGTCACATTCGTAAGAAATGTCACAAGGCAAATGAGTCAAAGATAAAGGCAACAACTTTAATCAATTAGCATTCTACCATCATTTATTTAATAACATCATCCTTATCTGCTTCTATTGTAATTTATAATACATAAAACACATTTAACATATCCGAAAACTGACACTAATCTGTGGTTTTATAGTATCCATACCTGTCTTTCGAGCTTGAATTCCAGGTCACCATGTACAAAAAAACAGCCTTAGACCTGGCTCAGTCATCATCTAGTAGATTTCCCAATCTATAACCCAAAATTTCTCAGTAATTTGCGGCCATTGTGGCACTGTATATGTGTTGACCGGTTTCAATAACCAAAGGCCTGTCGTACCTCTGATGCTCCACGGATACGGAGGCAACGAGCGAGATGCATACTAGTTAGCTAACACCCGGCTGCACCATAGGGAAGAAAGACCAATTCTTTGGTGTCCCGTTTTCCTTCGGACTAACTTTCTCATTTGCCCACCAGTCGGAGCCAATAGTATTCGAGTTACCTGAATCTCCTCCATCAGCATTGTCAAAATTGAATTCCTTACTAGAACCAAGCGTGATGGATCGGTGCTTCTGGTGCAGCTGTGCATCCTCCTCGTCAGCCACAGCCTTCTCTGGTACATCACTGTGTGTCTCACAGGCAGGACACTCGGCACTGCTCATTGCTTTGCAAGGATCCTCTTCGCTCTGGCCCTTTTCTGTTTCTTGTATAGAAGTTGATGCAGCTTCCGCTAACGCCACCGTCTTTTTTTCTACACTTCTTACAATTGCTTCAGAACTTAACTCAAAGGAAACTCTATGGTTGATCACAATTCCATTATTTCTACCTCTAGTGTTGGATCGTGGATTTAATACAACCTCAGGGGTTTGAGGCTTTTGAAGGAAACCATCAGAAACTGTTGACTTTCCACCATCAGGGGTCACAGAACCAGAAGCTAGTCTTGAACCCCAATCACGGGTGGAAAGAATGTCAAGGTTCAAGAGCTTAGGAGGATCACCTGTTCGGAATTCCAGGAAGTGAGGACCACCAACAGCAAAGTCGCGGTCGGGAAAAGGAGACGAAGTACCAGAACCTGAGATACCTGAGCTTGGCGATATAAGCTGACCAACCGGGCTTCCAGGGTAAAGTTGGTAAGATGGAAACTCGTAGTGAGATAATGGGAATCTCTGACCAACTTCACCATTCCGGAAGTGGGGATCGAGAAGCTGAGCAAATGGAACCTCGGGCGAGGAAGGGGTAGTCAAATGAACAGACTCAGGAGGAGGAGTAAAGGGAGCAGTTGATGGTTCGGTAGTGAGGGTTGAGAAAACAGGCGGTGAGACCAACTGGGTGTCATGAGCATAAGGACCGATAGCAAAAATTGAGGCAGGCCCAGGGGAGTACATGCTTGCTGAAAGAGAGAAAAAACCAGTAGCTGGTGATTGTGTGACCGAAGGTGGTTCTGATTGAAGAAACGATGCAGGAGAGGATGGAGGTGCAACAAAGGGAAATACAATTGAAGGTGCCTGGATTGAACTTTCCGCTCTTGAAGCATCACCTCCAGGGTCCGTCGGTTCTGGAGCAATATGCCCAATGCTCTTTCTGTGTCTTTGAAATCCAAAACACCAATATGTGCTCAAGAAACTACCCCACCTTCTCTTCTGCATTAAACCAAAAATCACGATTAAAACAGACCTCTAATACAATAAAAACAGCAGTAGTTATCTTTCCACATTGTGGATAGTTAACAATTTGAGTCTATTACATCATATCAGTTCCAGATGCCAAATCCAAACGGATGTTACGTTTTAGTTTAACCCCTGGTACACTGCTTTTATTAACAAGAGAAGATGTACATCTGTTTCGCCTTTAACTCGTTTATTCATCATTCATTCTCTCTCTCTCTTTCTCTCTCTCTTTCCGTATACTTCTTGTATAAATTGCAATAACCTTTTCCCCCCTCGCCTTAAGTCAATGTTGAATCGCTTCCGCTGCCGAAGCTCGATACTAATCAATTAAAGCTGAGACTCCTAATGTTAAGCAAAAAGGCGGAACCGTTTATATCGATCCTGCCTCCTTTACAATGACAAATTATAATTCACAAGGAATCTTTTTTCTTCTTTTCTTGTTTGTTTCTTTGTTTGTTTCTTCATTTGGCCGAAAGCGAGACCAAACCAAAATCATTCCAATAGAAAATTTCTTATCATTTTTAAAATCTAGTAACCAAAGCTCCATGCTTTTGCAAAAAGCAGGTCAACTCCTAAGAAACTCTTGTGGAAATTTCCACTTCCAAAAGCACTTTCCAGACCAGAAATTTCCAAAAAGGCAGCTCAATGAATTTAAGAAAATACGCAATTCATACAAACCAAATCAAATCTACAAAACCAACAAGAACAAAGATTAACATAACACAATTGGATCTTAAAAATCTCTCACAAAAACATGGGATTAAGATAATAATATAAATTTTACCAGGACCAAAGATTAACACTTCAAGAATCCTCCAAACAAGGTCAAATCAACATATTCAGAATCAACAGCAACAAAAGATATAACATTTTGTGACAAATTTACCTGAACGGTGGCGTGAGGCGCACGGTTCTCCGCGGCTGCGATCGCGGAAGCAGCTGCGTTTATAGTCTCAAAAGCGGTGTTACCAGTTCTCGAGTCTCCATTAATACCACTCATCTCCGCTTCTCTATTTCACCGGAAATCGCCGTTTTTCATCGTACTTTCGACTCCGGCCGAGAAAATAGTCGGATTTTCTCGAGAAAATCGAACAAGCCAAACAACCCAGAACAGGAACCGGAAAGATCAAACGAAAATTTGGAGACTTGGGTTTTGAAGATTGAATCGGTAAATGGAAAAAACGAATGAAAATCCAACTTTTGAGTCCCCGAGATTTGAGTTGATTTGATTTTTCTCTATACTGTGTTTTCGCGTGTGTTATGTAGAAATGAAAAAAATGATATTTAGTGATAATATTTAGGCATTTGTTTATATTGTTTTCAATTTAATATTTTTAGGAGACAACTTTTAAGGTCAAACACGGCAACGACTTTGTTTTGTGTCGTGATTTTTTAACACCTCTCAACTTTAGATTAGTGTTTATAAATTTGATTATATTATGATTGGGAATCATTTAGTTTACTAAAATACCCTTGTTTCTATCTTAGGTAATAAATAGACAGAAGTATAACTTGTAGTCACCAAGGGAGGAGCCATGAGAGGACTATAATGGTCCCGAGTCTACTTGACATTTTTTTTCACCCGCAAAAATTTAAAGTTATCTCTTTGATTTTCAAAAACTTTTTAGGGTATTTGGACCCCAACTAAAATCTTTTCCTTATTTCTTTTACCAGGTTCGATTTGAGATTGGTAGCTTTTATTTTATCAACCGGATCACTGTGAGTTTTGAGTGACTCAAGTAATCGAGAGAGTTGGTTTTAATTTTATTTTTGCTTTTGTTTTATTCTATTTCTTGAAATCTTTAAATACATAACTTTTGCTTTTTCTTTTTCTTGTTTCCTCATTCCTTCATTCTTTTGCTTGAAAGGGACTTTTATTTTCAATCTTAGTCATGGTACTAGGCATGGGATTTGAGTTGAGAAAGAGAATAACAAAAACGACATCATACCAAAACCAAATGATGAGGATCGTTAGCTTGGGACATAACATATCAAATCAGAAGAATGTTTTATGGTATACTTTTGATCACTCCTGAATCAAAATTCTGACTTCGCCATTAGTAATCACTTATAATATTTATTTATACAGCATTATTGAGTGAGTATTTGAGCATAATTATATAATTAGTCAGTTAGTCATAATTAGATATCCAACAAACGGAATTAACCCGAATGCATAAGAGGAAGAAAGTTATCATTTCTCACAAAACTAGTACTATTTCATAGTAAACGGTGGGGTAAGAGGGCAGTTTTGTCAAATGCTGTACTGCAAGGATAATTAGTGATAGCGTTAGTTGGAGATTAATTAACATTTGTTATTTTTAATTTATTATAATTTAAAAAGGGACAAAAAGGTTGGCGGGGCATTTGTCAAACAAGTATGCACGTGTGGGCAGCCAGCTATTGATGGCTTTCGTGCGCAATCGCAACCCCAACCAGCCCCCCACTGGCCTCTGCCTAATCACATGTGGGGCCCTCAAATTCCGCCCCCCTTCTACCCGCCACTTTAAACTAACTTGCACGGTTGGTGCATCTCTCACTTATCCCTCCCCTTCCTTTTCTCTTTTTCTTTTTGAAATGCTGGACTTTTTTTTTTCTCTTTTTTTCCCCACATCTCCACTCGTTTGCCATTTAGTAGTACAGTTTAATGGTATTCATCTGTAGTTGTAAGTAAAAGGTTTTAAATTCAATTTATCTCCCACTCTGGACTTCCAATCGGGCTACGAGCATGAGTAGGTGGCGGCTAGGGGGTTTGTGGACAAGAAAATGATGGTCAACCAGGGCGGAAGAAGCCTTGTTCGGTCTTTTGTTGACAGAACTGTAAACACGAAAAATTCCTGAAACAAGAACACGTGTACAAAATAATATTTGTAGTACTAATGAATTTTGGGGTTACAATCTCTTTATAATTTGATCCTCTGATTCGATCTCCGTAAGGTGTTGATTTGTGGATGTGCGATTGATCCAAGGGCTGTCCAGGCTTGATCTTGGATGAACGGTTTGAAGTTTCTTCAAGGGCCGTTGGGGCTTGATCTTGAATAATGGTTGTGCGGATTTCTTCAAAGGGTTTTTTGGGCTTGATCTTGAAGGTTAATGGATGAGCTGATCTTCAAGGGCTTTTGGGCTTAATCTTGAAGAACGATTGGGTGTGTGGATTTGTTGAGGTTGTTGATCCAAATGGTCGTTGGGGCTTGATCTTAGGATGAACGGATGATGAACGATGAACACTTTCTTCAAGGGCCGTCGGGGCTTGATCTTGAATAATGGTTGTGTGGATTTCTTCAAGGGCTTTTGGGCTTGATCTTGAAGGTTGATGGATGAGCGGATCTTCAAGGCTTTTGGGCTTAAAATTGAAGAACGATTGGATGTGTGAATTTGTTGAGGTTGTTGATCCAAAGGGTCGTTCGGGCTTGATCTTGAGTTGGTGAAAGTTCTTCAAGGGCCGTTGGGGCTTGATCTTGAAGGAGGATTTGACGAAGAATGAAGAGTGCTTTCTTGATCCTTCGGGATTTGCTTGAGAGCTTTAGAGTTTCAAGGCTTCAAGGTTTTGGTGTAATGTAAATTCCTCCCCTTTTTCTCTTGATGGAGAAGCCTATTTATAGGCTTTGAGAGTAAATCACCACCATCCATTTTTTTGGTGAAGTGAGTGGATGTTGTAGGTGAAGTAAATGGAGTTGGTAGGTGAAGTAAGTGTGTGAGGTTGGTGAAGTAAATGGAAGTTGTAGGTGAAATGAGTGTGTGATGTAGGTGAAATAAATGTGTGAGGTTGGTGAAGTAAGTGGAAGTTGTAGGTGAAATGAGTGAAGGTTGTAATTTTAATACATTGGTCAACATTTATTTCACTGAAATTTCAATGTCTACAAATGCCCCCACTTCAAGGCGCGTCGTATACATGTGTTTGGCATGTGTAGAAGATACGTTTTGAAGTCCCTTAACGTAGATGTCGATTTAAGGGCCGTCGAGGCTTGATCTTGAATTCGACTGGAAGATTTTCTGATTTCCTCCAATCGTTGATTTTCCACAGGCTTAATCTTGAACTGGGCTGGAGGATTTTTTTGGTCTCCTCTGAAGGTCTGAACTTACTCCTTTTATCTGGCGTTGAATTTGATTCAAGGGTGGTGAACACTTGATTTTGAATCGAACTTGTGATTTCTTCAAGGGCCATCGAGGCTTGATCTTGAATGAAAATAGGACCATGAGCGGTTTCAGGATTCAGACACATGGCAGGCAAGCATGAGGTGAAGGTGATGGCCTGTTTCTTTGTTCAATCTTTCCAATTCATATTAAAGAGGGTTAGGGGATGAATCAACATGTGCAGTTGTTGTGTTTGCTGACGATCCACAAGATTGATGTTTCATTGTCACTCGTCCTAGCTGTTCTCCAGGCGAATGTGGTATCTTCTCTGGAAGTGTATCAACCATTGAAGATGACTACTCGAGAGCAACGCTAGGTAAGCAACCAGGGAATAGATTCCAGGCAGTCGGTTCCAGATCGGAAGACTGATTCCAAGTGCCAGCTGATTGCTCTCTTTCTCTTTGCCCTGCGGGTAAGAACAAGGACAAAGGAAAGGACATGAAGAAAGCATGATATGAGATACTTTTGCTTTTTGAAGAAGTATTGACGATTTAACGGCGTCGCGCGGCGAGGCTTTGCTATTTGGCGACGGCGCCAGCGGAGAGTTGTTGAGGCTTTTCGAGCTTGGATTTGACTTAAACTCCTCTGTCTGGATGGTTCTGCAGGGGAAGGCGTTGCGCTCCAGCAATTTGTTCCAGCTCTTTGTACCGCATTCTTCTCTGCTTGTTTCTTTTACATAGCCGAGGTGGTGCGCAACCCTTTGCTTTTAAATGGTCTTTCAGGGCATCACTTCTCAGCAATTCATCCATGCTTGGCAGCTTCAGTGTAAAGAGCCGACACTCCATCACCTATCCTGAAGTATGCGCTTTAATCTTTTGAGAATTTGATGCCCCAAGAGCCAAAAACCACCTACCCATACCTTTTCCTCACATTGCAAGGAAAGAGATTTTCTCCGGATCTCTTCCACCAAGGTCACCAAATCAAGTGATATGGACCCTTGAAATTTGATCCAACGGCTAAAAACAGGGGCCCCTTTAAAAGTTATAATAACTTTAGCCGTTGGATCAAATTTCAAAGGTTCATATCACTTAATCTGGTGACCTTTGTAGAAGAGATCCGGAGAGGATCTCTTTCCACATTGCAATAGGTTAAGGACCCTTCTCTTTTCTCTCTCTTCTCCTTTTTCTTATTACATTTTGAGTTTTGACCACTTTGCATTTTGTTTTCATACATATATAAGTGCAATCTCTCAAACTACAAGTTTGGTAAGCGTCAGTTGTTACATTTAGGGTTTTTGTTTAAAACGTTCAAGTATACAATCATGTTTGTCTGTTGACTATTTAGCTGTACATATGAATTTCTTTAGAACGAATGGACTTCCGAACTAGGTTTCCGTAATTGTAGTTTTTGTTCAACCCCCATGTGTGGTTGTGTTAAAAGCATACTCATCATCCCTACCTTAGACTTGGACACAAATCCACCTTTTTAGTACACATTGTTCACAACCACATGTTTTGGGGTAAGAAAAATAACCAAGTGTTATCTAAAAGTGAAAACATATGCTTTTGGAATATGTCATTCACTCATTAATATGTTCTATTTCTCTTTATATGAGTTAAAAAGCAAATCACCAACCTATTTCAAAGTGGAAATGCAGTTAAACATGTAAAAAAGTTTAGTCAAAAAGCTTGATTTAATGAGTTACCAAAGTTTGGTACAGGGGAAAAGGCTTTGGGGTTGGGATAAATCAATGACCTAACTAAAAATTGGATTTGGATTCCATCCAGATCCTCTTTGTCACATCCAATCCATTTATTGTACATCGTGCGGCTAGAAATTAGTTTGAATTATTTTATTTAAAATTAAACATAAACAGTACCTAACGAAAGTTAGCTGCACGATGTACAATGAACATATAGGATGTGAGGACCCTTAGGATCCTTTGGAGAAAATCCTCATCCCTAAAAATTAACTTTTAAAAGTTAAAAAGGATAGAGATACTTTTGACTCTTAAGAAGAACACTAATTATGCAAATTTGATTGAGATTTCATAAATTATCGCATTTGATGAGTGAAGGATTAGGACTCCCTTTGGGGACTTTTGGTCAAAACAAAGTAGATTCCTCTTTGGAAAGTTTGGAACTCAGTTTTTCTCACATGATATCGACCTTTCTTGGACCTTTGAAAAAGAGGCAAAACCCAAATTCCACATGAAGTGCTTTGCATTTGCATGTCTTATTTAGGTCAAGTTTTTCTTTCGGGTTCTTATTAGTCAACATCTCACGTGGTGCGGCCGTGACCATTTCAACTCTCCATTTTCAGATATTGCCAAGAAAAGAGTTTGTCGTACCCCACATTTCAAACTTACACGAAATAGGACCGCTAAAATTGCGGTATCTTCAACCAATTATAAAAAGTTACTTTTGAAAAACGCTATTATTGATCTAAGATGCCACAGTAACATGACGTAAGTCGCCAATAAAATCCTAGATGAGTTCAATTTCACCATGAGAAAATTTAAAGATATTTAAAATACAAAGAACAGCTTTGTTATCATCATTGAATTCCTTATACTGTTAGTGAGAGACCTTTTTGCGGTCCGTTTCTAGTTCGAAGCTGATATTGACACTCTATAAAAGTAGTACTCCTCCCATCCTCCGTAACGAAAATAAATAAATAAAGAACTCGTCAAGTGCAAGATGACGTTTCTGGAGTACTACAACAACTCATAAAAGCAACCCCAATAACCATTAACATAATTTGAACTTCACAAGTGCAACGCATAACAACAGTGAACAAGCAATTCTAAAATAGACTTGTCCTCCTGCATAACAAGCCAACAGATGATTATTTCTCTATATTACAAGAGAGTGATACAAATGCATATGCAGTTCCTCTTCCAAATTACCCAAAAACTAAGCGGCCAAACTCTTGGACGCGATCTCAAACACGTTTTCTGACAGTCCATTGGCAGACAATATCTTCTGCAGTTGTGCCTGCAAACACCATACCATGGAATCTATTACTGTGCTGGCTCCGGAATTGAAACAAATACAAACACTGCATCTAAACATCGATTTTTCTGTTCGAACTTTATAAGAAAATTGTGCTTTGTAGTCCAAGAAATTAAGCAATGCCCAAAGAATGTACTGTGGGAAAAATAACAAAAATGCGAGCGATAAGAATGAAATACTTACTTTGGCAAGGTTTTGCCGGGTTTCATCATAGCGCCTCCACCTGGAGAAGGCTGACACCATGCGGGAGGCCACCTGCAATCCATGACCAAGGATGTTATTAGGGAAGAAATAACATGTAATGACAACCAAGCAATTCACAGCAAGAAAAATGTTATTCAAGAGGATTCGATGAAAAAACCTGAGGGTTCATTTTATCTAATTGCATCACAATTTCTCCCAAAAACTTGTAGCCTGACCCATCCTTTGCATGGAAATTAACAGGAGAGCCACAGAAACCTCCAATGAGTGAGTACACCTTGTTTGGATTGCGCAAGTCAAATGCTGGGTGGCTTAAGAGGTTCCGCACATTCTCAACATTGCCAGGAATGTTTGACATGGCTTGAAGTTGAAACCATTTATTCACAACCTGAGGAGAGGAATACAAAAATACGAAGAAAAAAAAAAACAAACAAACAAACAAAACAAAAAAGAAGTGAAGAAGCTTTTAGTTGAATAAATGAGAGAAGAAATCATCAGAAAGGTACATACTAAACAACTGTAGGCCGGGTTAGCACTCAGCCCTTTGTTTTTCGAGGTCCAAAAGCACCAAGCTACTTAGTATGCAAAGGTGGAAAGGTGAGAAGCAAGCCGATAAAACAGAACATCTGATATATGATAAACTAATGTTCATTTAAGGAATTTCAAAAGCTGAAACTTGTAATAAGAAATTGACAAGGAGCTCGGTGAAGACAACAGAAGTCAGAGCAATATAGATTATGAGTCACTATCATAAAGCATCCTGGGTTCAATCTTGCCTTCCAATTGACGTGGGAAATGAAAACAAAAAATTTGGTGTGTAGCTCCATTAAAGTCCTTAATAGTGCAACTTAACGACAAGGAAATGTAGGTTTAATGAACATCATACAGGATAACATTAGTTACGTGTAATGAACCTCAAAAAAACATGCAGACAGGGAAGGAAGGAAGGAGGGAGGGAGGGAGGAAGGGAGGGAGGGAGAGGAAAACACACACCAAAGAACTAATAAATATAACTCATTCTAGCAATTTAGGGACTATTAAGTTGGAAATAGAGCTTTACCAAATAGTCCTCCTTCCATTTGCTATAGAAGTCGGCCAGAATATCATCACGAGTTTTACCAGGGTTTTGTGCTAAGGCTGCCAAAGCTGCAAACTGCTCAGTCATGTTTGTGGCAGTCTTGTACTCATTTAGCACAAGCTCAGTACACTTTGAATCCTCGAGCGATGCAAGATATGCTATAGACGAAACAAAAAAATATAAGCACAATGAGTTCATGAAAGGCTAACTTCACCAATATAGAAAACATTACGTCTCAGAAGAACAAAACAGACCAAGAGCAATATTCTTAAGAGCACGCCTGGACAAATTGGGGTGGTCAAACACATACTCTTCTGAGCTCCTGTTGTTTTCAACCTGTGAAACATGTAAAGTTCAAGTCTGTTCTTGGTAGAATAGAACAAGTAAAGAAAGCACACGACGAATTTCTCAATAAAACTCTAGGTAAATCAAAATTATCATACTGTGCTCAGAAGCTCTGCTTTCAGTTCATGGGCTAGCTGCTTCCTGATAAAAGAACGAACAGCATGAACAGCATCAGGATCTGCAACTTCCATCATGTCCATTATTTCTCCTTCACCGGGGAGACTTATTGCCTTTGCCACAAATTCCTAATCAACCAAAGGCACATACAGTTCACTTATGAATTAATTCTTCCCACATCAGAAAATTATTTTTGAAAAAAATAAAAGGCTTCATCATACTTTATCCAAGCTTAAGTCAGACAGTATGCTTCTGAGCCCAAGCACAAACTTCGGATTCAAAACCAAAGGTTTGTTTTGTTGGAAATCAGCAACCAAATTGAGCATCAGCTTACGTGCCAGCACTTGTCCAGCCTCCCAGCTGCAACACAAATATAAATAAGTAAATAAGCAAACTTCAAACGGAGGCTCATTTAATGAAACGAGATATTTTCTGTTTGCACAAGACAAACCGGTTGAATTTGTCGGAATCATAAGCAAGGAGTAAAAAGAGATCACTATCTGTGAGATCGGTTTCCAGACGAATAGGTGCACTATAGCCCCGGAGCAGAGATGGAATCGGTCGTTCGGATACATCAGAGAAGATGAACTCTTCTTCTTTCTGCATAGGAAAGTAAAAGCAAAATTATTAATACAAGCACCTGGTGTCCATTTAAAAGACCCAGTTTTACACGCCAACACCTCTATATTTTGCCAATATACATCACTGTGTAATGTGGTAAAAAGATAACTCAAAGAAAACAAATTAGAGGCTTTGCATTTAACAAGTTTGAAAAAAGAGTTCAGTTTTACAGCTATTTAGTAAGTATATCTTCACAGTTCACACAAAAGTTCTGCTGGTTATAATCCAAGCTACCATGCATTCTTAATTGCATGTCAGTCACACTATTGTTTGACATATAGCCTCTAAGTTGGAGGATAGAGAAATCAAAACTGCAAATATGAGACAGAGAAGAATAGCTAAAAATGGAAAATCTGAGCCAACCTTTGTTACTCTAAGAACTGTGGTGTAGACTGGCTGACCATTGTTAGCAATAGACTGCACTATCCCATCATGATGCACAGAGGACAGAGGCACCTCCTTGCCAGTTGAGTCGAGTAAACCTACTGCCACGGGAATGAACATGGGTTCTTTAATGGGTTGCCCTGGAGTTGGTGGCACCTCTTGACTGATCATGTCCATCATCAAACAGAGCTGGTTATAGTGCCACCAAACAAAAAGACAGATAAAGACAAGACAAAACTACATCCTGTTGAGTCGAGTATACCTAAACTTCAAAGAAAAAGTACGGGCCTCAGCATTATAAGAGGATGCAACTTTAACAATTGGGGTCCCAGCTTGGGAGTACCTACAGTTTAGTTACACTCTAATATGTAAGAACTAAGCATGAATACCACCAGTACAAAAATTAGGAAACAAGAAGTGAGGGACAGACACGCACCATAATAAGAAATTAGCAAAATCTGCATTATTAGCATCTCGCATGGCAGCATAAAAGTCTTCACAGGTTACAGCTTGTCCATCATGTCTCTTGAAGTAAAGATCCATGCCCTGAAATCAGGAAAACTCAGATAAGTTGACTTTGAAAAATGGTCCGCCTGAAAATATTAAGTAAACTTGTAATCATTCAAGCATTAGTTTTAGAAATAGGTTTTCAGTCTTACATTTCGGAAACCTTGACTTCCAAGTAAGGTTTTGTACATTCTGACTACTTCAGCTCCCTGATAAAGTTGGAACGTAAGATTGTGCAATTGACTTTGTAGACGCGCACATAGATAGATAGATATATATATATATACACACACACACACACATATATATATATATACACACATATATATATACATATATGTATGTATGTATGTATGTATGTATGTATGTATGTATGTATGTATGTATGTGTGTGTGTGTGTGTGTGTGTGTGTGTGTGTGTGTGTAGAGAGAGAGAGAGAGAGGAGAAACCTTTTCATACACCTGTCAAAAGAAAATGGAATAACAGAGGATAATTAGATGTCTTCTCCACAAATTATAGAAAAGGAAAACGAGATAGGAAGAACAGTTGCTAATCCCTACCGTCACTGCAAGTAGATGTTGATGGCAGCCCAAAATTACAATCAGATACAATGTGATTGCACAAGACACCCAAAACATGTCAGAATTGAGAGCACAAATTCCTATGACAAACAAAAGAGGCCTTCACCCAAATTACTGAAGATAGAAAACTCGCCTGTATAGAAGTTATCCATCTGCATGAAAGAAAGAAAACATGAATATGATCTAAAGGCAATAATTAGAAATGGATTAGAAAAAGCCAACTCTGTATGAGCTACCAAATAAAAGGTGACATCTGACCTTGATGTAAGAATGTGGCCGCACGGGATGAGCCATGGGGCCAGCATCCTAAAAGACCGGAAAAAATATATCAGTACTTAAAAGGTGGCACCGTACAACATATCATTCGAACATCAAATACAGTCATACAATGGACTCATAACTCAACTAATAAGCTCCATAAAATAGTATAAAATAAGATGAAAAGGCAAACCTGTGGAAACTGATAATTTCTAAGTTTGGAAACATCAGAAATCCGCTTTACAGGGCGACTCCCCATATCAGATGAAAATTCCTACACATAATAAATGTCATAAATGAGCAAAACTCTCCATGTCATAAGATCAAATCTACAAGTATCTCCATGGGACTATAAATGGCCTGGATAAAAAGTAATACCTGATCACGGAAAACAGTTAGACCCTCCTTCAGGCTAAGTTGAAACCAATCACGACATGTCACTCTGGATGTATATTAGCGAAACAATTAGCTCAAGATTAAACATATTCTTGCATTAAAAAGGTTGTAGACACATAAACCCTAATGCCTTGGTGTAATTACTGAACCCTCTCATGGGATAGGATGCATATAATCTTTGTCAACCAACCTGTTGCCAGTCCAGTTATGGAAATACTGCAAAAATAAAAAATAAAAAAAATCAGCACCAATTTGCTCCTGCCACAAATCAAAATTGGCATAGGATGAAGGTTTGTGTCCCGATCTTATAGATGTGAAAAACAAACCTCATGGCCAATAACACCCAAGATGGCTGCATAGTCTGCATCGGAAGCAGTTTCTGGAGATGCCAAGACAAGTTTGGAATTAAATATCTGCAAAAATTAAAAATTAATCAACATTGTACATATATAAAGAAAATATGGAACTCTTTATCAACAAAACTAGATTCTGCAAGGAATACATACATTCAAACTCTTGTTTTCCATAGCTCCCCTGGTAATCAAATAAGAACAAAAAGTATCGTTAAACTATAGAATAAATTAAGGTTAGTAAAATGAAACCATCAGTCACATTCCACCAAATAAAGTTCAAATTTGGAATGTTGCATAATTATTTTTTAAACTTCTACCTAGAAAGGAAAACAAAAAAAAAAACATACATGTTAAAATCTGGAACGGCCACAATGTTGAAGAGATCCAGATCATACTCGAGACCAAAAACCTATTAGAATAGTCAAATGTTAGCACTTAGCACAGCACAACAAACTCTACAATCAATTCAATTACAGAACTTTGATATCAAAACCAATAATCTTCTTAAACGAAAAGAAACCCACATCCTCATCCCATTTCATAGCAGCCTTAAGTGAATACATGGCATGTGCTGTTTTTGCAACATCTTGAGCAGGGGTCCAAATCCTCAAAGCCACTTTTCGACCTGAACGAGTAATAAATGTGTCATCTCTGCTCTCGAGCTGTCCAGCAACCAAAGCAAACAAGTAGCAGGGTTTCTTGAAGGGATCCTCCCAAAGAGCATAATGTCTATTACCCTGAACCACAAGCACAAGATTAGAACATATAAAAGTACAGTAAATCTCCATATATTGCTTCGTTTAGTAAGTGATGATCACCTCTAGGTCTCCCTGCTCTCTGAGATTTCCATTGGACAACAACACTGGGTATAACGATTTATCAGCTTCAATGCGGCATGTATACTTTGCCATTATATCAGGACGGTCCTGTTCCAAGTGAAATGTAATCAGTACAGCATAAGTTGATAAAAATTATAACTGGAGGACCGGAATACATAATCAATTAAATTTACAAAACCTGAAAGAATGTAATTTTACGAAAACCCTCAGCTTCACACTGGGTGCAGAAATTCCCGGATGACTTGTAAAGTCCCTGCAGTAAAATTAATCTACGGTCAAGGCCAAAAAGAAACACATACCAGACCAAAAAAGAAATTGTAGAGATGACGACATGCACCTCTAATGATGTGTTCTTCTGGGGATACATCTCTGTTAAAATTTCCAAAGTAAATGCACCGCTAGGTAGTGATTTTAGTGTCAAATGGCGTGAATCCAAGTTGTAATCCTCCTCCTATCAAGGGAGAAAAAACAATAAGAATAAATCATAGGATTCCCAGAAAGGGGAGGAAGAACTTTTGAAAATAGAAATCAGTACATAATATATTTCTAATAGAAAAGGTATGCTCATGATCTCAAGGTTCAGGTAAGATGTCAACGAAAGAGGCAACTTAAACAGCTAATTTTACAAAGTACAAAAATAAAAATAAAAATAAAAATAAAAAATAAAAACCTTTCTATGCATTACATTAAGGAATAAGCTTGAGTCGATGCTTATGTTCTGCAGAGAGCAATCATGAAACTAACCCAAACCAGAATGGCACAAACACAATAGAAATTACATGCCTTTAAATCCTTGCCGTTGATCCGAACTGAGAGTAATTTAAGATCTGTTCCATCCAGAACCAATGGGGAAGAAGACCCTGTCATACAAACAAAAATTTATGAATAAAAACATTACTAGGAATTCTTCCACAAAATAATATGTAGCATAATAGAAAAGACAAGCAAAGCTAGATTTAGAACACTGCACCAGACAAATGACAATATTTTCTGACAAGCATAATCAATTCGTTAAAATAACCAGGAAGTTACCAGGATAACAAAGACAAAGATATTTTCTACCAATGAAATACTAAATGCGAAGAGTGGTCATAGGACTACCTTCAACCCTGGGGAAGACACACATTTTTGAACCAACAATTGTTTTCTCCTCACCCAGCGAAAAGTCCAAATCCACCTGAAGTAGTAGCTCCATAAGTACAGAAAAATTGAGGGTACAAAAGATCAGAAACCAAAAGAATATACAGTAATTTGATTTATTAAAGTGTAGTATACCGAGTCAAAGTAGTAGTCAGGCATTTTGTAATCCTTCAAAAATATTTCTTTTGGTGCAGCCATTTTGGATTCGTCAACTTGATCTGGCAAGCTTTCTGTGGCAACTGAACAGATTAGCCTCCTGCTCCCTTGTTTGTCCCTCTGGAATGATTCAAGATTTTCACATGATTAACAAAAGCATAAGACGAAACAACTACAAGATTGGTGTGGAGCATGAATAATTTGTTGAGTACAGAACAAGAACCGAGGACACAACTCATACAAATATGTGTGTGTGCAAAGAAATATCAGAACACACAAGACAGTTTCTGGTAAAAGCATTGCAACTCACAGGTAATGCAGTATATGGAAAGCGATAATTCCTTGAACACGTGGCCTGAAAACATCAGTTTATTACGAGAGTTTAGGTTTCAGAAACTTCTGTTCGAATTTCAAAGTTGATATAGAAAAGTCAGCAACGAAACACAATACTATAAAAAAGAAAAGAACATGTATTTAAAACAATTCACCTATGAAAAAGTTGAGAAATATGCACGAACCTCCAAAGTAAGAAAGCGCTTGTATCTGGAAAGCCTTTTGGCTGAATTCCCCAACAATCTAACACGACTGGTACACTGAAGCTCAAAAGAAAGAGAAAATATTCAGCAAGTGGACGAAGTTTTAAATACACAAACCAAATACAAAATTGTATCCACACAATTGCAACACGCTGTCGCTCCGTAATTCTTCTTTGCAAAACCATACAGCACAAAGATATGACATTCTATATCCTAAAGAGAATATATAAATAGCTGGCCAGAGACGAAAAGATAGCTAAAGTGAAGAAATTTGAAGGGAAAAAAAAACAAAGAACCATAGCTATTAACCACGAAAAAGCGACACGACTTACAACCCTTTAGTAGATTCCTAGTCTAGATATCAAATATGCTTCTGTGTTTTACTATAAAATTCAACAGACCATCTCTTACAATCACACACACCAGTAAAACTGCTTGCAAGTCACAATCTTTCAATACACACAATTACAAACAAACACACCAATCAAATATACAAACTAATCACTATCCACTAATCAAAAATATGGGTTAATAGCAATCACAGGAGCAGATGAGATCAAACCCAAAAGACTGGTCCTCACAAAAGCAGAGCTCTTGCATGGCAGAACCAATCGAGCCATTCCAAACCCCAAACAAACCTACTTTAAGCACTAATCTCTTGAATCCCAATAAGTAATCGAAGTTTTAACGAAAACCCAGATGCCCAAAACCCCAACAAAATCCCCAAGAGGCCCTAAAACCCTAGATCAAAAATGACCCAGATGAAAAATGAACAGAGCCCATTGCTACTGATACACTCCTTATAAAAGGATACATGGATAATGCAAATTATGGACACCAAAATTCAATAAAATGATAAACAAAAACCCCTAAAACAAATTAATCATGGTTTCAATTGATTCAGATAATATTGTGAAAAAAATTAAATTGAGATTGGAATTGGATGGTTTCTTGTGCAATTACCTTGTGTGATTTGATGATCAAAATGCAAGGAAAATCCAGGGGCTTTAAAACAACCTGAGATAGTGAGATGGAACCAATTTTAGGTGCCTCACTGATGATAGTGTGATGGTGTGATTTGTTGATCAAAATGCAAGGAATATCCTAAATTACGTTTGACTTTTTATTTTATTTTTAAATTTGATGATAATCTTTTTCCTCATTTTTGATGTTCCATTGGCCGATGTTTTGGGTTGTCTGTCTGTATTTGTGGTTTTTTAATATTATCTGTTATTTCCTGGGCCTGGACAGCAAAGTTGGGCCTTAACTTGGCCCAATATGGATGGCTGAAATAATCTGAGGTTTGTTTAGGTCGTGAGATCATTGGCGGTGGGTGGTTATGTTAATTCACCGTCAAACTTATTATGTGGTTCATCTACCTTAAATATGGCAATTTAATGATATTTTTCTTTACTTATAAGTAAGACGTCTTAAATTCGAATCTTGAGAATGACAAGTCACTTCATTCAATTTAGTATAAATATATCGTTGTATAAGAAAAATAAGTATGTGATTCATTCTTATTTTTGTTTAAATGTTGGTAAGCAGGGTATCATTTTACTTTTGAAGTTGGGTGTAGTAGTTTAAACTTTGGATGCAATTAGATTCTGTTTATGTTGTGGTCTGTTGAGTCGGAGTTTTTGCTTTTGGGGAAGAAGTTGGAACATTTTAACAAACGATAGTATCTATACTAAGACTATCTCCAACCCTTCGAGATAAAGATTTAAGCCATAAAATTTTAAGTCATAACCCAAAAACTACTTTTCTCCTTCAATTGTTATGGTTTAAAATTTTAGCCTGAGTTTATTAAATAATGATTTTAGCCTATTTTTTTTCGGTAACTTTTTTAAAAGTAAAATTTATGTAGATTATCCTAATTTATTTTTATGAACATTTTAATCCAAAAATATTTAAATTCCGATAAGTAATTAAAAAGCATACAAATAAATAGGTATTTATAAAGTTTTATGTGAAATTTGATTTAAATAATTTTCTTAAATTATGTAGACATTAGATTTAATTTTTGGCCGTCAAATCTTTTTTTTACCGTTATATTTGATTTCATTTGATCAAAGCCGTTTGATTATATGTGACATCCCACATCGCCTAGGGGGTGATCCTTAAATGTATATTCTCATCCCTACCTAGCACGAGGCCTTTTGGGAGCTAACTGGCTTCGGGTTCCGTAGGAAATCCGAAGTTAAGCGAGAAGGGGGTTAGAGCAATCCCATGATGGGTGACCCACTGGGAAGTTGCTCGTGAGTTCCCAAAAACAAAACCGTGAGGGAATGGTAAGGCCAAAGCGGGCAATATCGTGCTACGGTGGTGAAGCGAGGCCGAGAAGTGATCCGTCCTGGGGGGGATGTGACATTATAAGTAAAAAAAAAAAAAAAGAAGGGCTTGAAATATGACAATTTGGTGGGTTCAAAATAATTTAAGCCAGACTTAAATCATGTGGAGAATATAATCCAAAGATATATTTTCCTCCCAAGGCTTATTTTAACCCAATGATTGGAGATGAGGTGGGGTGGTTTTTTTTGGGTGGGGGGGGGGGTGCGGTTGGGTGTGGTTTGAAGTTTATATTTTAAGCTTTATCTTATGTGTTGAAGATGGTCTAAGGGGTTGGGGTAATGGGCTAAACATCACACTAGACTAACCATAATAATGTGGTTCAAATTCACATTTGGCAAGAATTAAACCTAAGACTTCTCACTTATAAGTGAAGATAAATACTACTAGATCGTAATACTAAATAACGGGAAAAAAGTTAGAACTTAAATCCAATTCAAATTCGAGTTAGAAGGTATAATTGCTTCATATGACGGGATGTCTACTTTAAATTTTGGGCTTTGAAAATGAGCTTATGCCAAAAGCCCAAAGATCATGGTAATTAATTCTACAATTATTCTGTTTATTTAGCGATGAGCAATTAAATGTATTGAATCTAAGATTTCATATAAGTGAATAGAAATATTATTAAATCACACGGTTAGTTTTTATAAAACCTGCCATGTGGTGATATTAAGTTAATAAGGAGAAGTCTTATAGTGTAGTACTTACAGTGTCGCATGGTTTTGCTAATCCATGTGGCATTTGCAATTCAATGCTAGCCAAATCTATGCAGAAAATTATCGATGTATGTGATTCCTTATTGAAAAAAATACAGAAAACACACTCCATAATACTTGTCAATATTTGCTACAATAATTTGTAGCCATCAACTAGCATTTAATCTTGTATCTCGAATATGATACATATGAGTGTAATTACTATTTGGATTTATAGTGAATTTTGATACTTTCATCATATATTAGCTTCACTCTATTCTGAATAGACTATCACATTAATAAAACAACTTGTATATAGGGCATGTTTGAAATATTTTTAAAACAAACAATAGTGTTTTCAGATCACTAAAAACGCTTATGACAACGTGCAGTATAAAAAAAATTAAAAGTGCTTCTACTTCAAAAAAAATAAAAATAAAAAATAAAAAACAAAAACACTTGAAGTGTTTTCTATAAGTAAGACATGTTGTGTGCTTCTTTCAAGAAGCACTTGCATTTTTCTAAAAAAACTTAATGTAATCCAAATAAGCGTTTTTTAGTAGAAATGCTTTTTAAAAGAATATTTTCAAACGAGTTCATGATCCATCGTTTGTCTTCACAGGACAAAGGAAGAATTTCACATGCTTTAAAATGTAGACCACTATTCCATACCTAGTTGGCTGCATGCTTTATAATATGCTACACTCCTTGGATCCCACTTAGTCAAACAAACTCGATGTGAATAATGTGACCCTCAAAAAACACCTAGGTGTTCCTTTTGAGGGATCCTTTTGTTCCCACTTCTTGCATAAAGCTTGAACCTATATACAAATATATGTGTGTGTATGTATGTATGTGTGTATTCATAGTGAACCACCTTCCTCATAGGTGTGCTGAATTAACTAATGTTGAAAGAGATACGACCATTTCTGTTTGTAATTGCTTCAAAATTATAAAACACAACTGCATAATAATTTCAAAATAATAAAAAAAAAAACTTATATATTAATAGACGTTAAGGGATCATTTGATGCCTAAGATCGGAACAAATTTGATAACTCATGAAATTCCTGGTATTTTAAAAGTATAGTTGAATGATTTTTCATTTTTTGGAGTACATCTAAAAGTTAATTACTCATTGACAAACAACTTAACATATAAAATGGAATAACATTTGGCTCCTGAAAATTCAGCGTCCACCCCTTATTTTTATCCAATAAGATTTGAACACGTGTTCTATAAAACGGAGTAAAGCCATACTTCCAAGTATATGATTATATAATAAAGGTTTTGTCAATCTAGCTACCAACCATTGGAATAGTATTATATCCCTCTTTCAGAAAACTTGTAATGTGTTCACAAGCTGTCTACAAGTGTGGGCAAATGTGATTGGACTCATGGGGTACTTCAGTTGTGGATTTGTGTTCAACCCCATTTCAAAGTTTAAATTTGTAATATTATTATTATTTTTTTCTTAGGGAGAGTGATGCAATCCAAGCCATTGATTGCATAGAGAATAATGAGTTGGAAAAGATCATAGCTCTCCATTCGTGTGTGGTGGTAATGGTATCACATGGAAGCATGTGCTCTCAAGAAGAGCAGCAAAAGAGTGTTTTGGACTGAAGTTGAAAGAGCCAAATCCACTGATTTTAAGTCAATTGACAAGTCTTTTAATGGGTGGTTAAACATGTTTATATTAATACATTATTAACGATTTCATGGGAAATTTGGTGTAAATTAATAGGTTTTTTTTTTCTTTTTTTTTAAAAGAAGAAGATTAGTTGGTGATTTTGATATGACAGTCTACTCTTCTAGGGGTCAGAAGATTCATAAATGCATTCTAGCCTATCCTTGACCACTATTGTGTAATTCACCAATGCTAGAAATCAAACTCAAAACATGCACATATTTTAGCTTGAAAATTATTACCAAAAGATTTGTAGTGTGTATTGTAAATGGAATTAAAAGACGTGAATGCTATCTATAAAAAAGAAGCACTTCAATTTTCATATGCAATTACCTCCCAACTTCAATTTTCAGGGATTGTGAGCGCATAGTAAATGAATCAATTACCTTCAATTTTGACAAACCATGCAAATTGATATATGTGTTTTCACTCAACACTTACTAAATCAAAGTCAATCTTAGACACCAACAAAACTTTTATTGTAACAGTTTCGAACTTTTCTCATTCCCTTAAATAATAATAATAATAATAATTAGATACCAACAGGAATCGAGACTATAATTAATCAAAGGAAAGTAGTTCTTTGGCCTCCCCTTTCCCCCGTGACCCAAACAACAAACTCTAACTAAAACTCCTCCAAACATCGGCCTCTTTCAGATTGGGGTTGGTGACAGCCTTTTTTGCTCACTACTATTTAGTATGGTGTATGCTCACCATCCTATTTATCATCGTTAGATGAATTTGAATTTTGAGATTTGTGCTTATTCACTACACAAATCTCGAAATTCAAACTGATTTAACGATGATAAATAGGATGACGAACATACATCACACTAAATGGTCCCTTTACTCTTTCTCTTCACCGCCTACTCGTGTCTGCCCCTTCCCCATCTATCTATCCACTATTTTGTGAGCAACCTTCCATGCTTTAATGGAGTGTCATTCCCAAATTCATCTATACGCTCTCTTTTTAGGATAGATTTGTGTGGTTAAGCCGTCTTTCTTGTTTCATATTCGAGTCAAAGCCATCC